TTAAGAAAAAACCAGCCGATAAGTTTTGAAGCTTGAGTCATGAACAATAAAACTTATCGGTTAAATTTTTTAAAATGTTATAATTTTTTTTTGTTTTAGTATTTTGAAGTTGACCAATTGTTACTATAAGCAATTAATGATTATAGGTGATCTGCACCGTAGTAATCCTAAAAGACTTAACAGGCTCGCAATTTTTACCCGATCCGTTACGATATAGGATTGGGAATATTCTTATTGGGTGCAGGTTTGGCGCAGGTTTTTGAATAAAATGCGTTGATTATTAATTGATTTTTCCTTGATCTTTTTCCTCATTATAAAATTACAACGAGCTCTGTAATATAAATCAAAGAATTGATAAAATAATTAATGGAAATGGAGTCTTGGAAAAAAATATAGACCAAGTAAATCAACTGATGAAAGGAAATACCTGAAAGAAATCGAAACTTTGTGGAAAGATTTCAAGCAAGCTATTTAATCAATTGAATCCAGATTTCTCATTCAATAAAATGGCTACCGAAGTTCATTCTTTGCTTGAATGAAAAGGAGTTTCTGCCTTTACTATCAAAAATCTCTATCAACGAAAAACTTCCTAGAAGAAGATATCAATATTAATAATGATTTATTGTTTTAATTGATAATAATTAATAAAAGAGTAGTTAGTAATAACGAAAGTTTATGTTTCTGTAAGTGCCCAGAGAATAGGTAATGCTGACAATGGCTTGGATCCGAGTATTTTCCTTCCATACAAATTGCTCTGACAATTTTTATCTTTCAAATTTTTTCTATGAATCTCTACAAGTCATGTGCCAAGAATTGTGGCTTTTATTATTGGTCCAAATTGTACATATAACAGATAATCGATAAAATAATAAAAAAATGATCATTACTATTTCCACGAAAAGAAGTTGGAAAAGAGAAGTTGAAAGGACTGGGGAAAAAGTGGAGGGAGGAGAATGGAGGGATGATATAGAGGGAAGAGGAAGTGAGAAAAGGGAGAGACAAGTTAAAAGATGAAGGTGGGGAAATGCGTTGATTGAAATTAGTAAAGAGAAAAAGGTAATGAACAAATTGCATACAAAAATTATTTTCCATTTATTTATTCATTTGAGGCATTTGGTATGCTGCTTACAACTTGATCTAACTAGTGCTTTTTTTCCTTCAATAATTTGAATTTTAACTCTCTTTTAAAATCTCCTTTTCCTCTATCATCTATTGATTTCGGAATTATCCCTCTCTCCATCTTTTCATTGTCTGGTTTGTGAAGGTAGGCACTTTATTGTTTTTATACATGGTTTGTTGCTAATTAGCTTGTTAATGTTTTTTGGATTATTTATTTTCTTTGTGCTTGAACACTTGAAATTCATTGTAAATTTTGTTATCGGATGAATTAGAATACCTGCCACCAGAATTACTTTTTAGGACAAGTGGATATTCTTGGGAGAAATCATATGATTTGAAGGGGCTGTTTAGAACAATTGAACACCACAAAAATTATACAAGAGCACCATGCCATTATTTTTATGATTGCTGGTGCGGGAGAAGGAAAATCTAGGAATGCAAATGAGTTACAAGTACATTGAGGAACTGAAAAGAACGATTAAAAATGTGTTAGTATTTAATATCTCTTTAAAATGGCACTAAAATAGATCTATTAGAAGATCATAGCGCTGAAACTGCCATTGTAAAGTGAACGCTTTTTCAACTAGAAAAACACAAAGGTGACTGAATCGAAGCATGTTGAAAATATCACCAGATCAAGTAATATCAAAGACTGCTAAACGCAAAATGCGCAACCAAAGGATTTGACAGTCATGATTGTGATTGATGAAATGCGAGGGAAAGGATGGAGAGGACAAATCATCATTATTCTATTCATGTTGTATGACAGTTTGGAATAATTTTGCTGCATCTGAACCGTTTGTGATAGAGTGTTACACAGAAACACTCAACCGGCCTTTGTGAGCAATCTACACCAAAAACAAGTGTTTTGCCAATATCATTTTTATCACCACCAAAAGACAAGAAATGCCAGTTTTGTTAACAATAATCTTATTACATGCTTGTTAATGATATTGGAGACCGTGATGGTGCATTAGAAGCACCGGATGAAGCTCTTAATGATAAATATTTAGACAAAGTTAGTCTTCTAACCGTATCGTTCGTGCATTCCATGTTGCAGAGCTGGAATTTTAAATACTATCAAGAAGTTCAACGGAATGAAGATTTATCAGTCCCTAGTACTGGCAGCATTTTAAGGGTTTGTTGGGTTCTCAAATCATACGTTTTTGATTCTGACCAACATGTTAACTTGGAGGAGAAACTAACATCTAAAGATGAAAAATACCTTCAACTCGATAAAAATGTCAATAAGTGAAAATTTAATTTGAGCATTGATGATATCAATCAAATAATCACTATAAACGATCAAATTGAATCAAATGGAGTGAATTGTGTAAGGAATATGGTTGAAGTAATAAGAAATAATGTAATACAAAAATAAACATTAATTTTTTTGTTTTTAGAAATTTAATGAAGTCGATCTGCTTATCTGAATAATATATAATTATTGCATAATTTTGGTTTTACAGAAAGCTACAATATGGACTAGTATAAAGTCCAAGCAGTGTGAAAATGTTAATGTGCAATTGGCAGAGCATCCTTATGCAGGATTTGTACATGGGAACATGTATGCATGTAATATTTTAGGATTAGACCACAATGGAGTTCACACCAAGATAGTTGCATTGACTGGGCAGGTTGTGAAACGGCTATAAAGATATAAGTCAAATACCACTACGAATGCTACAACATTAACAACACCATCTTCTTCTTCTAGTAGTGAGTATTAATTCATTCAAACATCCAGCTACACCATCAAAATATTCGGACCACTGAGAGTCCCACTTTGCAAGATCTCGCGGATATAATCGTGACGTTACCTGCTGAAGAGGATTGCTTCTGTTCCATTTACAATAAAATTTATGTCTCATTTAAATGGTCATAAATTGCCAATCAAAAATTTTAAAAAAAAAATAATTTTATTATTAAATTAAAATAATAGTCGGCACTAAATATTCTTTAAAAATATATATAAAGAAATAAATATTATTGTTTATTAAGAATTTTTAACATGAAACCTTAAAAATTGCTGATCTCTCTCAAGAGACATAATAGGTCTGATTGAAACGACTCAAAACCATAAATGTCAAAAGAGGTAATTGGTACAAGTATCATCACAAAGAAACATGTTGTTTTGGTAATAATAATATCAATTTTAATTTATGTTTTTGTACGGATAGGGACCTGTTAAATATTAATGTGGGTAACCTGTTATTCCGAGACCTTTCTTTGCACATCACCCAAGTAACCAACTGAGCCTGTTTTATTAATTGCAAGTAAATAATAAATAAAATTTATTTTGGATGAGTGATCATTTCGATTTTTTTCTGATAAATCTCTTCCATAATAATTGAATTCTTTTCAACTGTTTTGGTTGTCAACTGCTTCTTCGTTGACTATAGAACCAGCGTAAAACGGAAAAAAGCCTTTGGCAGAAAAAAGCTTAGTTTCTAGTTTTTATAGGGTGAAGGAATTATTGTGTATACTAGCTCGTTAAAGAATATGAATTGACCGATTAAAACTCATCTAAAAAAGAGCCTTTTCGTTCTAATCTTTTTAATAATAGTAGTAATTATGATCAAGAAATGACACTTCTGTTGTAATGGTGAAGATATGATTAGAGAAGAAGCCATTCGATCAAGTGTTAATTTTATTTAGAATAAGTAATTGCATTTTCAGAAAATTATCAAGACAAATATTAATCACAAATAAATTAGTGGCGCTCTTACATTACATTTTTAACTAATTTTATTATTATTATTATTATTATTAACACAGTTAATAATATTTATACATATAACATATTAGATTCTAATTAAAGAAAAGTCGATAAATATTTATAGATACAAAATATTAAATTCTAATTAAAGAAAATGAAAAATAAAAATAAATTTTAATAACCAAATTTACAAATATAAAAACGAAAATAATTAAAAATAAATAGAATTTCTAAAAAAAGTAGAAGTTTTTATATATATAACAAGCTAAAGAAAAAGAAATATCCATTTTTAATTTTTTTTTTCAAAAATAAATATGAAATAATTGTTCAAATAATACAAATGAAAATTATTAATTATTGAAAATTATTATACAAATTGATTATATATATTATATAATTTTAATATTGTCTTGTTATTCTAATTATTGATAATAAACGTTATATATTTTTGAGGATTCAACTTTCACATATTTGAAGAGCGTTATTACGCTCATCAGGTGACGGTAACTCTTCATATTGATTTTTTACAGGAGGAAATTTATTTATTGTTGCAATGAGATCGTTCATCCCTATTAATTAAAATAAAAAAAAAAAAGAAAATAATATATAAATATATTATATAATCTCTCGAATATATTATATATATAAAATTATTATTTACTTAATGGTTTAGTCACATATTCATCCATTCCTGAATAAAGGCATTTTTCTCGATCTCCTATCATTGCATGAGCTGTTAATGCAATTATTGGAACATGACCACCATATTGAGATTCATAATCACGAATTTTTTGTGTCGCTTCAAAACCACCCATTATAGGCATCTGAACATCCATTAAGATCTAAATTAAATAATATTAATTATCATAAATAATTATAATTAAAAAAAAAAAAACAATTTGACAATAACAATAACAAAAAAATAATAAATAATAATAATAAATTACCAAATCATATCTTTTATATTTAAAGGCTTCAACAGCCAATTGTCCATTAGCAACTATTTCTACTTTATGACCAAATTTCTCTAAAATTTTTACTGCTAATTTTTGATTTACTACATTATCTTCAGCCATTAAAATATCCAAAGGCTGTTGTCTTGTACAATCACTTGGTATTGAAGAGTTAGATTCAAGTGCAGGCAATAAAGCATTCATCAAATCAGGTAAAGTTGATGGTGTACTACTATATGAAGTAATTCCAAGATCTATACAACTCTTCATATTTAGTTCTGGTATTGTAGGTGCTAATAATACAATTGGAATATATCTGAGATATGTTATTTTACGTAATCTTTCAACTATAGTTAAATCATCAACTATTACTGTATCAAACAAAGGTACATCTGATTTTCTAGATGCTGTGATAATAGCTGCTTCTTCAACAGAATTTGCAATTTTTGGTTTAAGCCCTAATTTTTCAATCATACTAACAATTCCTGTTTTGTCATGTAATGTATCAATAAATAATATATAACGTCCTTGCCATGGTAACATTTTTTGTTCAATTTGTTCTGGATTTGTTGTAGCAGGTGTGACTTTGACTGTGAAAAAGAATTCGGAACCTTTACCAAACTCACTCTTGACCCATAAATTACCACCCATCAAGTTAACTAAACGTTTGGATATTGAAAGTCCTAATCCAGTTCCTCCATATTTTCTTGTTGTAGATCCATCAGCTTGACAAAAAGTGTCAAAAATCAGTCCAATTTTGTCTGCTTGAATTCCTATACCAGTATCTTTTACACAGAATGTCAAAAGTACTTGTTCACCTTCTGTTTCTGATGTATCTACAGAAAGCATCACTTGTCCTTCATTTGTAAATTTCATAGCATTCCCTATAAGATTTGTTATGACTTGTCTCAAACGTAAGGGATCACCAATCAATTGATCGGGTATACCATTGTTCACATCATATATAAGATCTAGTTTCTTTTGAGTTGCTTTAATGGCAAGAGTTTTTAAAACACCAAATACAGCAGAGCGAAGTGAAAATGAAATTTGTTCAATTGTCATACGTCCAGCCTCAACTATATGTATATAAATAATATATTAGTAAAATTACTCCTTTCTTTAAGATAATAACAATAACAATATAACGATAATCTTACTCTTTGAAATATCCAAAATATCATCAATAATTGTCAATAAAGAATTAGCTAAAGAACTAACTATTGTTAAATTTTCACGTTGTTGACGTGTTAACTCTGTTTCAAGTGTCAAGGTTGTCATCCCTATAATACCATTCATGGGGGTGCGAATCTCATGTGACATATTTGCCAAAAACTCGCTCTTACTTCTATTAGCTAATTCAGCTGCTTCTCTTGCAGCAGTATTTTTTTGAATACTTTTTCTTATATTATACACCATTTGATTTATTTTAGTTTTAAGAGGATCCATTTCACCACCTGCATCAACAGTAAAAAATTGAGTAAAATCTCCGTCAGTTGCAGCAACAGAAATTTGTGCAAATGCACGTACTTGAGAAGTTAAATTTGCTGCCATGGCATTGACATTAGATGTGATTTCTTTCCAAGTTCCCCTTACATCCCTAACTTGGGCTTGAACACCTAATTTTCCTTCAGTTCCCACTTCTCTAGCTACTTTTGTTACTTTAGCAGCAAATTTAGATAACTAATAGATGATTATTTAAAAATATAAATAAAATTATAAATATAAATATTATATATAAATAAAAAAATAATTGATTAAACTTACTTGATCAACCATAGTATTAATCATATTTTTTAATTCAAGGACTTCACCCCTAACATCAACAGTAATTTTTTTACTCAAATCACCATGAGCAACAGCTTTTGAAACATTTACAATGTCACGCACTTGAGAAGTGAGATTTTCTGCCATTGTATTGACACTGTCTGTTAATTCTTTCCAAGTACCACCCACATCTTTAACTACAGCTTGACCACCCAGAATACCTTCAGTACCCACTTCTCTAGCTACTCTAGTTACTTCAGCAGCAAACATACAAAGTTGATCAACTAAAAAAAAAAATAATTTTTACATTAAAAATGGGTAATAATAGTAAATAATAATAATAGCAATAATATAATTCAATAATAGTAATAGTATTATTATTGAGATCTTACCCATAGTATTTATAGTATTTTTTAGTACAAAGGTTTCACCTTTAACCTCAACAGTAATTTTTTTGCTTAAATCACCATGTGCTATGGCAGTGCACACTTTAGCAATATCTCTTACTTGTTCAGAATGATTATTAGCCATCAGATTTAGATGAATCATCATTTCTTTCCAGCCACCATCTAAATATTGATTTTTAGCTTGAATTCCTAATCTTCCTTCACCAACTTCATGAGCAACTTGAATCAATTCAAAAGCCACATTGTCAATTTTTTCAACCATGGCATTAATTGCATTTTTTAAAGTAAGCATTGGACCTGATGAATAAGGACAAGTAACTCTTTTTTTGAAATCTCCAGAAGTAACAGCTGTGGCAACAGTTGTACACTGGTTAAGACATTCTAAACAAACATGATCATCATGAACCAAAACAGGTGATGTTGAAGAAGATTTGTTGAAATCATCTGAAGGAGCAACAACGTTAGGATGATTGTTGCCATTAATAAGATTTTGCACTTCTAAACATTCATTTGCATCATTTATGATCATAATTGAATCCGACTCGCTGAGAAATGTTTGATATTGAGTAACTTGTTTTTCAAGTTGTAAGTGACGCTCTAATAATTTCTTTAATACACAATCCAATTTTATTGTATCTTCATTTTGTTGGCCTTGATATTGTGAATTCAAGCAATACTCTGTGTTTCCATCGTGAAGATTTTGAAGAATGTCAGTAACATATCTAATAACATCTGTCATCATGTATAAATAGTTAAATTTGAGGTTTATTTTTCTTTTTTAATTCTATTTTTTTTTTTTTTTTACGATTTTCTTTTTAATTCTATTAATTAATTTTATATATTTACATAAATAATATTTAAGACCAAATTTAGAATTTAAAAAAAGCCACATCCGTCATCTTGTCTAATTTAACATTAAGGGTCTGCTAATCGGAAAAATTTTCTATATAGTAATTAGTATATAATAATAATAATAATTTTTTTCAGCCTTTTAGGAAATCATGGAATATCATTCCGAAATTTTAAAATTTACACATAAAAAATGGTCTAACTTTGAAGCCTTATAACTAATAAAAGGAAACAAGCAAATTGATAAAATGGAGTTTACTTTTTTTTTCTTTTTAAATGAAAAGTTATTAGCTTTTAAAGTCATATGATAATCATTGACTGTTATAGATGTCCTGCATTATACATACTTTTTTTATTCAAAAAATTCAATTTTGAGCTATTTTATGTCAATGATATAAAAAAAAGGGCGCCAAAAATGTTGAAAATGAACAAAAAATCTTTCACATGATAAAAAATGATTGGATATCTTGTTCACATGATAATAAATGGTTGTATATGATCCAAAGCACACATCACACATTATAAAACCTTCATTTCTAAAAAAAAAATCAAAAAAAAATAGACTAGCCATCCAACAGTCCTGATCTTAATCCCATTGAAATGTGTGGTATATCATAAAAATAACATTAAGAAAAGGATTCCAAAGAATGTTGACGAATTGAAAAGATTTATGACTGGAGAATTCCTCAGGAAACAGTCAAAATATTATTATGTCTATGAAACAGAGTTTTAGTGATGTGAATCAATATGGCCTGTTACCAGGTGGCGAAGAACAATCAAAAATTTGAATTATTATTAGAAGAGTCCTGTTCAATCTTCTTTGCTGAAATCTGAAAATACTATTACTAAATTTTGGATAAATAGAATCATGGTTAGAATAGAATCCGAAGTTCAGATAGAATCAGCTCACTAATTAATTTACAAGTATATAAATTCATGTCTTTTTGAAAATAACTGAGAATAAAAATTTCTGAAAACCCAACTCTCAATCATAAAACCTAGTAAAAATACCTTATTCATCTGATCTACACAACCAAAATAATAACTGTATAGATATTCTCTGTCAGGCTATTTGAATCACAGAGAAAAAAATTATATAAATTTTTTACTTTAACTTGTTTGGTTATTGAGCCTATATGTTTCAAAGCTTAACAGTATTTTTAACATTTTGGGTGATTTTACTAATAAAATTAAAAAAAACTCTCTGTCAGGCTATTCTTTGAATCCAGAGAAAAAAACCATGGAAATTTTTTACCATAACTTGTTTGGTTATTGAGCCTATATGTAACAGTATTTTTTAATATTTTGGATGATTTTACTAATAAAATTAAAAAAAAACTCTCTGTCACTATGTGGACCATTACATTATAGCTGTATCTTTTTTTTTGAATGAGAAGATGCAATTTTTATTTTATTAGTAAATTTTATATACACAGTGAGTCTCTGTATAACGGATATGTTTGTTCCAGGAAATTTATCCGCTATCAGTCACAGGACATTTCCCGCCGATCTATAGGAGGTTGTAAAACATAGTGAAATTTGGATGATCTGCATCATAGTAAAATTCGTAAAATTTTATAATCGAATGTCTTCACACCCTCGTTTGATACCCTTGCTGTGTAGCAACCACCACCAAATTTGAGA